CTTGGTACTTCCGCAATTTCATAGATGATAGGTTCTCATAACAATGGGTCTGATTTTCCAGCAGCTAACCACATATTCGAATCCAGCAATCTCAATTTTTGGAAATGGGAATTATCATCAGATTTTTGAAATAAAAACTTGTAAATCTTAATTTTGAAATTGGAATTTTAAAAATTTCGATGGGCTGTAATTTCCACTTTTCATTACTTTAAATGGGCCGACCCTTCATAGCCTGTTTTTTAAATGGGCTACACAAACAAACTTAAGATATAAAATAAGAGACTTTACAGTATTGCTAGGCAATCGCACCGGTTGAATGTTTGAGGACGATCACTTTTTAAAATTTATATCACTTTTTTAAATTTGCAACTTTTTAAAAAAATTCACTTTTTTTGAATTTTTATCACTTTTTAATAAAAGTGACATTGTGTGTCATTTTTTTTTTTAAAAGTAACACTTAACTTTAAAAAGTGACATTGCATCACTTTTTTCTATTAAAAAAATGAAAATTAATTTTACATAGTATTTTTTACTTTTAAAGTATTTATCATATGATTTTTCAAATGACCATAATTTTAAGAGTATTTTTGTAAGTCGCTCTAATTTATTCCTATTGGTGTAAATTACCCAAGAAAAAATGGTTCCCCACCTTCAAAATAAATAAGAGAGTGGGCTTAAACTTGTGAAAATTTGGACTCTTCAAAATGGGAAATTACAAAAAATCAGGTGTTTAAAGATTGTTTTTTAAAAATCAAGTGCAAAGTTTATTTATTCAAAAATCAGGTAATATATTAAAATCATAACCCTAATCCCATACAAAACTTAAATCATTTTTCTTTTATTCATCATCCTCTTCGATTCTCGTATCTCTCTCTACCCTCTTCCTTGCCGTTGTAGCCATTGAGGAGCGCCCACTACCAGAGAGTCGAGCAGCGACGTCACCGCTATTGTCCAACCTCGCGCAGATCTCCCTTACCGTCGCGAGACAGCCCAGCCGCGCTCAGATCTCTCTAATTTCTTGAAAGAAATGTGTGAGTAGAAATGACAAATCAATATTTGATAGCCGATCTAAGGCAGTGCGTCAACGGCAGGGCATTGTTCACACTCTGGTTTAATACCGACGCCACGATTTGTGGTGGTGTGTGTGCGCTTTGCTGTTGCTCAAAGATATTTAGAGGACGGGGTGGTTTTCAGCAGTGGAGAAGTGGAGGTGGTTGTGGTTGTGGCAAAGGTGGAGGTGTGGGTTGTGGGTGCGTTTCTGTTGGATATTTTTGACATTTGTAACCTATAAAATAGGTAATATGCAAGTGATTGGTGGTGGAGGTGGTTGTCGTGGCTTTGTTGGTGCTGTTGTGGTCGTGGCGGCGTGGTAAGGGTGGTTGAAAGTGGCCACAGTGGTAGTGGCGGTAGTCTGTGACCAAATATTTGGTAATTTGTGACAAATGACTCAACTGTGACCTAAAAATTTAATAACATGTGACTCAAAAATAATAAGTGACCAATTAATTTAAAAATTCGTGATCTCGAAATAATCTGTGACGCACAAAATTTTTGATTTGTGATTTCAAAATAATCTGTGATCAATTAATTTTAAAATATGTGACACGTGACCTATAATTATGTATATGTGACTATTAATTATATAACTGTGATTTTATTATAATTAATTAATTAATTAAAATCTGATTTTTGTATTAGTCAAACTTAAAACCTGATTTTTGAATTGTGTATAGTTAATCCCTGACTTTTCAACTCTTCTCCTTCAAAATCTTGCTTATCTAATTGGGCCCAGATTTCTGATTGTTGAGCCCAGTTTGGTAAGGATCCTATTGGATGTCGTTGAACTGCACCTAAAGTTTTTGAGATTTCACTTTTTTTTCCCTATTAATTTAACCCTCTCCAACCAAAGAAAAAAAAAAAAAATTGTTAATTGATTTCCATTTTCGAAAAGGAAAAGCAAAAAAGTCTGTAAGGAAATTAAATTTGTTGCTATGAGATACACTGCTCTAAACATTTTCTAACCTCTTCAAAATTATTTTGAATTAAATTAATACATTACTTGTTAAAAAATAATAATTAGATTTATGTGTAATATTATTTTATTGACGCACGCGTGGCTTTAAATTGGGTCAAATAACTATTCAAGAATGTATTTTGATGGAAAAAATGGGACTCAAACAAGAGCTATAAACAATTATGAGAACTTTGCAATCTTAGAATCTTTATTAAGGAGAATTAGATAGCACAACCTAATATTAAAGAACATAAAAAATTAAAATTTTATTTGTTACACTGTCTATTCTTATTAAGGAAAATACTTCTCGTACATAACTATTTACGTAATGTTTTACATAATGGTGATGCGTTGAGAAAGTTATTTGATTGATGAGATTTTGAGTCAATTAAATCTCCATACATCATCTGTTCATAAATTATTATGTACACGCAACTCAACTCATTTAATACTAGTCAAATTGTGCAAGATCAGTTAAGTAATTCTTTCAATTTTTTGGTTGACAATAGTTTATTGACTCAGAGAGCATAAAATTCTAAATAAAACACTTTTTATTTACTCAATTCACCTTTTTTACCCTATACAAAGATTTGTTTAAATGGCTAAGAATATATTATTTAAATTAGACATCAAATTTGATTTTTAGAAATTAAAAAAGTTCTCCGTATTGGAATTTAACTTCCCACCAAAATTGGACGCCCACTCCCGTGGACTATTCTTTTGAATCTTTTTCTGTGGGCTGCTATACTATGGTCTAAATTTGCAAGTTCCATATTTTACTCTTATTGAGTGTACCCTTTATTCTAATTTTTTGCTAACTATATTCTTACCAAATACCAACGTTCTATCTGTTAATAAATTTTGTCCTTGATGACGGCTTTCATTAAAAAAATACCGATAGAGAGTCAAAAGATTTACTCCATTGTCGAAAGAGGAAGAGTCACTTCCTTCTTGCTTGATTGAGACTTCTATTATTAACCCAGATTAAAAGAGCTCTCAAACCCGACGTGTGGTGGATCCCGATCCTCTGTCCATACTTTGAGACGCTACTTCTTGTCGATTAAGGATTTTGATTGCCATGATAGGCTTAGTTTTTAAGTTGCTAGCGTTCGATTCAAATAAATCAAGTCCCTTTGGTCGGTTTGCTCAGGTGGCCGTCCCTTATCTTCCCTGACGTTCATATTGGTCCACATTTAAAGCACGTTAATAATATTTTTAGATGAAAATCCCGATTTTCAAATTAATAATAATAATATTACAAACATGTCCTTATCATTCCCTACTTTCAAAATTAATTAAAAATTGGCAACGTTGTTCTAACCTGGAATGTTATCCTATCATCTCTTTGACTGATTCCTCATAATATGTAATTTCCATCAAAGTTTGAGGGCCCAAATGTCAGTTCAATCAAAGATCAGGACATTTAAATATGGTTAAAATCCATACTCAGGCTGCCAGTCTTTGCATTACTCTCTAGTCTCTCTCTCTCTCAAAAAGGCGATTGAAGGGGGAAAGTTTTTGGAATCCATTGAATGTAAGAATTTGATTTTTTACGATTCCATTTTTTGTTTGGTGTATATATATTTGTATCGGAATATAATGATGTTTTTATATGCATTCTGTAGTATTGTATATACTATATAGTGTTGAACTTATACAAGTGATTCTGTGTTCAGTGAATTGCTTGTGAGCGAAAAATGGCGAAATTGTACTCATTTGAGGAGGTTTCCAAGCACAGAAGTATCAAGGATTGCTGGCTTGTAATCGAGGGGAAGGTCAGATTATTGTTTTGAATTTCTGATTTCAGATTTGTAATTTATTTCCGTTATTGTTTGGATTTGAGTTTAACATATTCAATGATTGTTACAAAATTATTTTCCAGCTCATAATCTTTGGCCTTTGCTCATAATAAATTCTGATATTTCCTAAACATGCTCTTATAGAGTTGATATTAGTTTTGGCAAAGCCTAGAACATTGGTGATGGGTTGGATTTGGGTGAGAAAAAATATTCAAAATTTGGGAACGACTATATACCAAACAGAAACCATAGACTGCATTCTTTTAAATCTTTATTTTCGGGTTTCATTGGAAGCTACATCGTTTGAATTCTTCGTCTCAAATACACGGTGATGTAATGCTGCAAAATTGTTTCATCAGGTATATGATGTATCCCCATTCATGGATGATCATCCCGGAGGTGATGAAGTTTTGCTATCATCAAGTGGTAATGCTACAATAATCTCATCCTACCCTTTTCAATTTCACTTATGTCGAGGATACTTTGCATGAGCAAAAAATTTGGGTTAAACTGCGAATTTAGATGTTGAATAATGAATGTAAATTGGTTGGTGAACTTAGCCGTTTCATTCAATTTGTGGAGTTATCAAATTGTAACAATTAGTTACAAACTTGAAACAAGAGAAGTTCAGAAATTTCGTTAAAAGTTTAGTGATTGCTGGTGTATTGAACCCTGTAAAGATTTATATGTAAGATTGCCTAGTGAATTTGCTGTGATGCAGGAAAAGATGCAACCGCCGACTTTGAAGATATTGGCCACAGTGATTCTGCTAAAGAGATGATGGACAAATATTTGATTGGGACAATAGACAAGTCAACAGTTCCCACGAAACGCACTTTTGTTCCACCACCACCACAAGTCGTGTCCAATGCAAAGAAGGGTTCGGATTTCACAATCAAGATTTTGCAGTTTGTTGCCCCTCTCTTGATCTTAGGTCTGGCCTTCATCGTCCGAAGCTACACCAAGGAGAAATGATGGGAAAGTAGTC